TCTCTCTGTCTGTCTGGCAAGCGCACGCGCCCTACAGTGAAAAATCTCTCCAAAAAAAAAAAAATCAACATACAAAAATTTATAGAACTTTTATATACCAACAATTAACAGACTAAGGTAGGATTGAAGAAAGCAATCCCATTTACAAAAGCCATAAAAAATAAGATGCCTAGGAATATACCTACCCAGAGAAGTGAAAGACCTTTAAGAAAAATTATTAAAAACTGAAGAAAGAAATTGAACATGATACACAAATGTGGAAAGGTGAACATTTACTAGAGTGAAAGAAATAACATAATCAAAATGTCCATCCTATCCAAATTAATTTACAAATTCAATGCAATTCTGATAAAATTGTCAGAGACTTTCTTCACAGAAATAGAAAAAACAATAATGAAATTTGCTTGGAATCATAGGAGGTCCCTGTATTGCCACGGTAATACTTTCCAAAAAGAGTAAACATCTCACTCTCTGACCTCAAGATATATTACAGAGCTGTGATAACAAAAACAGCTTGGTATTAGCAGAAAAAAAGACACATAAACTGATGGAACAGAATAGAAAACCCAGAAATAAATCCTAAATCTTAGAGAAAACTGATCTTTAACACAGGGCACAAGACACTCCAGTGGAAGAAAGTTTTCAACAAATGGTGCTGAAAGTACTGGATATACACCTGCAGAAAAATGAAACTCAGCCCCTATCTGTCACCAGTAACAACTCAACACGAATCAAAGATCTAAACATAAAAACTCAAACTAAAAATTACTTGTGGAAAACATAGGGGAAACTCTTGAAGACATTGGATGGGACCTGTAAAACAAACAATAATCCAAAAAATAGACAAGTGAGATCACATCAGCATGAAAAGCTTCTGCACACCAAAAGGAAAAAATCAGAATGAAGAGACAAATTTCAGAATGAGAGAGAATATTTGCAAAATATGCTTCAGATATGGGACTCATAACCAGAATATACAGAGAACTCAAGCAACTTATCTGTAAAAAATTAACAATCCAATTAAAAAGTAAACAAATGAATTGAATAGACAACTTTCCAAGGAAGATATGTGAATGGCCAAAAGACACATGAAGAAAATGTTCAATGCCTCTTATCATAAGGGCAATGCAAATGAAAACACAATAAGGTATGATTTCACCTCAGTTAGAATGACTGTGATCAAAAAAAAAAAAAAAAGAAAGAAAGACAAATGATGATGGTTAAAAGGTAACCCTCCTATACTGTTGGTGGGAAGATAAATTAGTACAACCACCGTGGAGAACAATATGAAAGCCCTTCAAAGACCTACAAATAGAATTACCATATGATCCAGTAATTCCACTCCTGTGAATTTACCTTAAGGGTAGAAAAACACTCAGAAAGGCACATGCATATCCATGTTTATTGCAGCATTATTTATAATTTCTAAGACTTGGGCTCAAGCTAAGTGCCCAAGAACGAATGACTGGATTGAAAATAAGTGGCACATATACACTGTGGACTACTACTCAGCCATAAAAAACAATGAGATCCTGTCATTTGATACAAAGTGGATGAATATAGTTAATTTAATGCCAAGTGAAGCAAGCCGGACGGTGAAAGATGGACTTTGTCCCAGCTTAATATATACTGAATGTCTTTACTTTGTGGCAGAAACTGAAATATTGGAAGATACAGTAGCATAGACAGCAAGTGTAGATACCAGAGACTATATAGGAGTGGGTGAAGGGTTAAGGGTAGGAGGGAAGGACTCAGGAAAAAAAAATTGAACAAACATAAGAATGGAAAGTTATTGTGCACCTTGATGTGCTCGATGTTCAATACATTTATTCTTTAAGAACCTATTAATGTATTGTACACTGTAAAAAACATACAAGGATTAAATGTAAAATTTTTAAAAAGAAATTACATTAAAAATACTTTAAAACATGTAAAATTAGTGGAGGTAGGGATAGGTTTAAAATTTCTGAACTTCTTGTTCTGGGTAGGCATAGGAAACAATTCTTTCAATATTCTCCAAATTAGCATTGGAAGTAGAGAATCACACCATAATACCATCTCCTCCACTCTTAGGATTTTGAGCATGCACACACATGTGCCTTCTGTAATTTTCACACTGATGGATCAGATACTGGAACCATACAGTTGGCCACGTGGGATATAATACCTCAACCTCCATGCCACGTGTTGGTTCTTAGAAGAACTTTTGAATCATCCTGTATTACCACTTTTAATCCTAACACTAACCAATTATAAAACATATCATTGTTGCTCTACCAGAGCAGAGAATTGAGTGTTATAAGACTGTTTTTTTTTTCTTCTTCTTCTTCTTCTTTTGGAGAGGTTTTTACTATAGGGCACATGAACTCACCAGAAGGACAGAGACAGAAAGCGAGAAATCACCCCCCCCCCCCCCCCCCGCCCC